GGAAAGAGTCTCTCTCCGGGCCTATCAATTTGATTTCTTCCATTAAATCAAACTAATTCTCACAAATCTCATTTAAAAGATTTTTTTATCCTTTAAAATAAATTATTAATAAATAGTAAAAATTGACAATATAATAATTAATAAATAATTATCATTTATTTTTTTAATTCTCTTTCTCTTTTACTAAATAACATAAAATATTATCATACGTTTGGTTTATAGATTAGAATCATGAGATTAGAACTATTTTTAATTTATGTGTATTTTTTATAAGAGAAAACACTGTAACAAATTATGAACCTAATTCAAATCAGGGTACGAATCTCCCAACCAAACAACTCTCATTCTTTACAATTCTCATCACTCCCGTTCTTTTCATCTTTCTTTCTATCCATCCCTCCTATCTACGTTGCTGGCGTGTCAAATGATTAGTAGCTACGAACTAACTATCATTTCAGAAAGTAATGGTGATAGTTAGGTGCTTTGTCTATTTTACAATTAATTACTTGAAAAATTTTCAACTCCTTGTGCCTTTCATTTTAAGCCTCATGGTGCCTTGTCAATTTTACAATTAATTAGAAGTCCATATATGTTTTTCTTTTTCTTTTTTTCTTTTTTTTCTCGAACCTACATTTGCATGACGCAACACGTAGGACATGCTATTTTCCTTAAAAAAAAAAAAAAAAAAAAAAACGTAGGACACGTAAAGTCATGTTAAAGAATAGGTAGATAGAGCTTTTAAAAAAGTAACAATAAAGTAAATAAAGATTCCGCTTACTTACTTTAGTGTTAATTACAATAACGTTACCATATATAATTTGTTCGGATGGTTCCAAAACATTGATCGAAGTATGCCAAGAACCACCTATCTCCCTTCCTACATGCAATATAGGACTGCTTTTTTAAGTTTAAGCCTTCTCTTCCTTCGGTCTAATCCCCCCATCCCGTGACTTGCCTTTCATTTTCTAGCCCTTGTCTCCTTCACCTACGATTGCTCCTATTTTCCGTTTAATCGCTAAAGTACTTAAAGGACGAGGAGTGGTGACCTTCTATTGGGCTTTAAGTACTTAGTAGCTATACTTGACCGACGTCGGCATCATACAGTAAGACTAAGGTTTGGTTGGACAATAATTCGCTTTACTTTTTAGTAAGCCCTTATTCTATTCATTCAGAATGGCGGGCCTAAAACGCTTTATTTTGGTAGGCCCTTATTCCATTCCTTCGGAATGGCGGGCCTAAAACAGCTAATGTGGTCGTTTAACGGATAGCTATAACCCATGATCAAAGTATACGACCACTCGTCTAAGTACAGGTGGAATAGCTCATTGTGGAGGGTGCAGAACATGGTAGGGGCATGAGTGAGTCCAAAAGGCATAACCAAATCCACCCTTCATTAGTAAGGTTGCTTGCTTGTCACACAGGGCAAGAAAACGATAGCGATCGGTTTGGGAGCGTCACGGGGTGGTGGCCGTGCCTATATGAGGAACTTGTCGCTTCCTTCTCCACTTCTTCCTCTCAAGTCGAAGCGCCTTCAACTGCAGTAGTGTTCGGTTAATACTAAACACGTGAACGTTTAATTTGTTACATGACATTAGTAACATTAATAATACTAGATTATGATAATTGTGATGTGAAATGTAAAAATAGTGCCTTCATTCACCTTGACGTGATTTGGGGAAAACGAAAAGGGAAATATTTGTAACATGATAACATGTATTAAATGCACTTGAACATTTAGTTTGTTATGTAGCATTGATAATCACATTAGATTATGGTGACGGTCATGTATTGAAAACATTGGCTTAATTGTGGAAGATATTATGTTATTATTAGAGAGCACACTGACGTAATACTTTTAGTTTATGGTTCGTGATCACTTCTCGTTAGAGGAAATTCCTCCTTCTACTTTAAATGTCGTGATTGTTGAGTCTACTAATTCGTCATGATAAATAAATTCTAAAAATTTAATTATTTTTTGATAAATTCATCACAATAATAAATGATCATGCCGCAATAAATAGATGAAAAATTTTAAAGGTATAAGAAATAATCTACTTATAAATTTTGTAAAAATTTTAACCATTATATTTTTGTTTATTTAATACTATTTTAATGTAGTTTGATGGTCAAAATAGAAATCAAAGATTTCCACAAAAAGAAATAGTGGAACATGTTTATTTTTTGGGACTTTCTTCAATAATCTCTGTAAAAATGAACTATCAATAGTTCTTTACTTTTCAACCATTAAATCTATATCAGAATCTATCTGTTCTACATACTTTTTTAATCTGACGTGATTTTGATCAAATTAAATATTCAAAAATTGAAACTATCAGTAGAATGGATTACCGGAGAAATCTTTTATTTTTTTTCCTAATATTTGAATCCATAATTCAAAGCCGTTGTCCGTTTAATTCGCTGATTCGAGTTTTTAATTCGAATTGAGATGTGACTTTATGTGAGAATTTTTTATTGTAGTCAAAAAATTAAATATGACTATTTTTTAAAAAATTTTTACTATAATAAAACTTAAATTTTAAATTCAAATCAATAAAATAAAGTAAAGGACCCAAATCTCCAAATTGAAAAAGTTTTTGGAATAGGATTATTCTCAATCGGAATAACTTTTTCGGCCTCGGATTACCGCATCATGTGATAGATCTTATCCTGCCCATAAACATACAAAATATTTGGTTAAATCGACAATGAGGCGCATTTGAAGAACACGTGCATACGACAATTGCAGTGAAACAACAAATGTACTTGTGTCGCCTGAATTTTACTTGTTAGAAAGACTATAATACCCTCCCTCAACTGACAATTCCAAAAAGGAGAAAAAAAATAAACAAGGAAAGAAAGAAAAGAAATTAGCCATTAATATAACCATAGTAATATTAACATTAGTAAAAAAGAGACAAATACTGCTTAGAATGCATATAACTTAAATTTATACTCTTTACACTTATTAATACTTTTTAGTTAAAGAATTATATTAGTCAAATAAAGTAAAAATCTTATAACAATGCATTCAAATAGTAAATTTACCAATTTTCTCTTATCCAATTGAAAATTTCATCTACATTGATATTTCACTTGATGAAATTCTAATTAGTATATGTCTCCTCAATATATGACCATACACTGTTTTTTTAAGGATAAATGTACTCCTAAACAAGAAAACACAAACACTGCAACAAAAGACTTCCGGATATAAGCACAACTTAACCCGATTAGTGACCAGTTTTGCTACTTATAGTGAAATTGTGGGAGAGGAGAAACGTGCATGGAGCTCATATAGCGGGAAAATAAGGCGACGATCAAACACATGTACGGCTTTTTGAACACACCTCTACAATCGATAGAATCAAAGACACCTATAAATTAAAAGTCACCTAACACGTTGTCAAGACACAACTCAAATGAGTGAGACCTAAAAGTAAAATTAGAAGGTGAAAAAACCACATAAGTTATTAGAAACAAAATAATACATTAAAAAAAAACTTACAAAGTGGAAGTAACGCCTTTATTTTAACTAAATAACTGGATATAAAGCTCCAACACATAAGCCAGAGCGAATCTGACCACTGTAAGCGGCATAACCAAAAATGTGATTATTTAATTATTTATCAAAAAGAGTATAGGGTATGAAATGAGATGTAATTATGAACTGGAATATTTTCAGTCTAATATGTTAATCCTTATACTTTTATCATTTTGATATGATTCACCGTGATCTAAAAAATTAGGAAAACAAAAGTAAAAATTCAAAGCCACGTGAATCTTTATGGCCAAAAAAAGTATGGAGTCATGGGCACCAAATAATACAAACCTAAGAAACAACATAAATATTGAAAGCACTGTAAAAGGAAAGCATCAAGACTTTTTTTTTTTGAAAAAAAAAAAAACCATTTACTCAATTTTTTTTTTTTTTTTTTTTTTAAAAAAAAAAAAACCATTTTCTCAATTTTTTTTTTTTTTTTTTTTTAACTTTCTTCACCCACATTGTGAATTACCAAAAAGTCTATGGGCAGTTTAGTAAATAAAATTGAAATGGACAGAATGAAAAAAGTAAAAAAAAAAAAAAAAAAAGAAAAAGAAAAATTAACACAAACGCACTCCACCATTACTTAACACTGGAGAGAATCTCTGCACAGAAAACTCAGAGAGGGAGAAAGAGGAGAGAGAGAGAGAGAGAGAATATCTCTCTAATTGATAAAAACCTCCCACAATCTATCAAATCTAAACAAAATCCAACACAAATTACACAATCTCACTTATCTTTCTTTCTTTTTTTCTTTTTCTTTCTCGCCAACCAAACAGACCAAAAAGTGATGGAGATCCCGGAGAAGCTGATCAAGTTCAAGATCCACATCCTCCTCGCCCTTCTCCTCTGCGTCGCCGTTTCGGTTCTGATCCTCGTCGCTCCGAGATTCCTCACCATTTTGGCCTACTTCTGGCCTCTCCTCGTCTCCACCGCGCTCTTCCTCGCCTCCGTCCTCGTCTTCGGCAAGACCACCGCCGCCTCTCCGGCCGTCGCCGACAAAGCCGGCGAAGGCCTCCTCGATTTCGTCGCCGGCCAACCGGACCACCACCACGGCCATCATCATCATCATCATCCGGTCGAGGGTTTCAAGGTTGAAGAAGAAGATTCAGTCTCACATGGTGAACACAGAGTGGAAAGTTCCAACTCCAAGTCCGAGTAGTGAAAGAAAATTAAAAAAAAAAATTTTGTTAACTTTTTTAGTTTTCATTTTTGAATTTTGATTTTTTTTTTTTTTTTTGGGGCGTTTTTTCCTTTTGCTTTGTTGTAGTTTGATGACATTAACGCTTCACTGTGTATATCCTGCGAAGAATAATGCTAGATGCAGTCCCTTTTCATTTCTTTGCTTTCTTTTTCTTTTCTTTTTTTTAAAAAATGTTCTTTTTTTTTGAGAAAAAAAAATAGAATTTTTTTTTGTCATTGATATTGGTATTACTATTACATAAGCAAAAAAGAAAAAAGAAAAGGGAATGTTCAAATTTCAATTTGATGGCTGACTCTTGGCCGTAATTGATGGCCGTAATTTTTTTATTATAATGTTTTTTTTTTTTATATATATAACTCAAATTAGAATTTAAATTGTGTAAATAAACACAATGTGAGTTATAAAACACGAGACTTTCGAGATAGAATTCACATTTGATTAGTCCTTATGTTTAAGAACGTTTGTGCCTCGTTTATATTTTATTTACAATGTGAGTGTGACTATCACTTGTGACAGTAATATATATACACATATATATTGAAAGAATTTGTGGTGGAAGAGTTTTGGAGGGTCAAAATTGTCATTGAATTCTTTGATTCGAATTTATACAAAGTCCCGTTTAGTTCGTTGATTCGAATTTTTAATTCGAGTTGAGATGTAATTTTATATGAGAGTTTTTTACTGTAGTAAAAAAGTTAGATATAACTGTTTCAAAGAGCTTTTTACTGTAACAAAATTTGAATCAGTGAAATGAACAGGACCTTTAAAACTTGTAATAGCTCTGTATTTTTAGTTTAGTTCAGAATTGATGTATGAATTCTTTGACAATTTTTCTGAGCTTTATTATATTGTTTTAAAATTTTCCACGTAAGCCCTAAATAGCTTCAGCTTGCAAAGATTCCTAGTACAGATCAATAATTTAAACGGTTGTTTATTGTTTATAGAATCAATAAAAATAGAATAATCAATAATGTGGTCTGGTTTAAGCAAGTACCAATGGTGAGCTGGATTGGGAATTCAAATAGGTTCGAGTTTGAAAGTTTTACACTTTACTGCTTCAGCACTTTTTTTATTGCTCAAGTTGCTATTTTAAAGTCCTTTTTGTCTCTCTGCCTCACACGGTGGTACCGGGAAATTTTGAGGTTGTTCTTTAGTAACAAAACTCAGAAAAAATTTAAATTTGAATTATAATTTTATTTAAGTTTATATTTTTTTATAAAATTTGAGTTTAAACTCGAGTTTGAGACTAAACTAGAATTTAAATTTTCCCTTCAACTCGAGTTCATAAACTCGAACTCAAGTTAATAAACAATATTTTATTTATTCTTAAAAATGTCATAACTTTTTCGTTTTAATTCTGATTGAGATATTTTTTTTCTATGCATTCACAACGAAAAGAAGAATAAAACTCCACCCATATACCATATTAAAATTTTTCATCACCATTGAGTTTTTATTAAAATACTATCTAAATACAAATTTAAGTTTTGACTCACCCAAACACAAACTCAAAAAAATTCTCAATTCAAATCATAACTCAAATGTGCGCATCCAAACACAAACTCAAGTTACGACTTCAACTCAAATTATAACTCAAACTCAACTCAAAATCATCATTCAAGTCACCCAACTCAAAAATGCAAAAGAACAACCTCTTTAACAGTCGAGAAATTTTCAATTTTAACTATTGTTTTTGTCAACTATATTATTTAGGTTAATATACAAAATATTAATAACACTACAGAAAATAACTTGCAAGATATAAAGTGATAATTTATAAATTAAGATAAATTCAACAATTGTGAGAGAAATAAAATAATGTTACTTTATTTATGTCATTTTTAAAAATTCTAAAAAAAAAAGTCCCAAACTTCATCATTAGCAATAGGACTAGAAAAAAAATGAATTAATGAGTTCCCTATTTTTAGTTGTTAGATATATTAAAACTGTATGTTCGTTCTGTATATTTTTTTAATTTGATGTAATGTTAACTAGATCCAAACTGAAACTATTGGTTGAACTATCCTATCAGAGAAACTTCATATTTTTATTTGTAAAAAAAAACCTACCATTAGTTTCTTACTTTCAAGCGTCTGATTTGATCAAAATCACATCAACTTAAAATAAATATGCAGAACAGATAATTTTTAATACAGATCTGCCGTCTTAAAACAGAGAACTATTGATAGTTAATTTTTTTTAAACCTACCAGGGAAACTCTCTTTATTTTTAAGATTAATTTGTACTTTTAGTTTTGAATTAAGCCAAATCTTATTTTATTCCTTGATTTTTAAAACGTTTTATAACAAGTTTTTAATCTATGAAATTATCCTAAATTTAACTTTCCGTCCATTCAACTCTTAAAATCTTGATGAAATAAGACACGCTACAACATTAAAAACGGAAAAAAATGCTAATAATACTTTTTCTATTACTCTTTATTAATTATTTAACACATATTATATTATCATATTTTATATTTAAATAATAATATTATATGTACATAATAAATAATAAATATAAAAAGTGACAAATATAATAATAGAGAAAGTGATAGTTTCTCACAAAGGAAATACGGAAGTTAACCCGTTTTAATAAACGTCAGCGATTACCGCATGATCGCGTGGGGCGATTTGTATTCTTAAGCAGAACTGATCTCTGACGTCCGATCAAGATGATACGGGTCCCAATGCCTCTACTTGATTGACTTCTTAACGAAAAAAAAAAGGACCCACAGTTTAACAGCGTATCTAGTGGGATGTGGGACCCACGAACTGGTGCCTTTTAGGAGACTTCAAGGGATACCATGATAATCTGGTGGGTGTTGGACCCACAGGAAAGTGCAATCATTCACTTTTGACGATCGGGGCCTATGTCGGTCGGTAGACGATGATGATGCATTATTAGTCAAGATATGATCTCATATATATAGCCCATTAAGGGCCCATTTGAGAAAATCCAGTCCAAGTTGAGCGACCAACCTATTCTCAGTTTTTTTTTTTAAATAAATATTTAGAAAAACCAAACCTCAATTTAACACTTTACTTTGATTTAATTATATTGCGTAGGAAAATTTGGAAAACAAAGATAAAGGCCCCGTTTACTTCACTGATTTTAGTTTTGTTACAGTAAAAAGTTTTAAAAAACAGTAACATCTAATTTTTTTATTACAGTAAAAAGCTCATATAAAATCACATCTCAACTCAAATTACAAACTCGAATCAACGAAATGAACGGGCCCAAAAGCATCCATATCGTTGGATACATTACTCACAAAGTCACAATCGGGGCCAGTGTTTACATCGTGTTATTGTAACACTTATTTTTCTAACTGACAAAATACATGGAAATAGACGTTAAGAATTAACTTAAATAATGTTATTGTGTTATAGTTAGTTAATTCTAACATCACGTTGAATTATATTTTACAGGTGAACGCGACGAGAATTTAAGGTATTAAGAACAAGGTCAAGTCATTTTATGAAAATTCTATATGATTTCATATTTATTTTGGTGATTTAATGAATTTGTATGATGCTATGATTTGATGATATGTTGTTTTATATGACATGTGTACACACACATACAATAGGATGAAAGATGGCATATTCATAGTCGGCTTATATAGCCTTATTAGATATGATTTGGATTTGTCATGATCAATAAAGGAGAGTAATCTGCATGTGGGAATAGGAATGGAAAGGAGGGGAGTAGTTGCCGTGGATTTTCTTGGATTAATTGCTTCAATGACAGTCTATAATCGCCCAAATTAAGCCAATTAGCATTCAAGTTAATCTCAAAATTTATTTGGAAATTTCCCTTTATATGCATGTTGACCAATGAAAATTTTACTTCTTTTAAGCAGCCACCTCTCTTTTATTCCTCTAAATTAGTGCTGTGTGTTAGGGCCGGTAATATAGATCACGACTCGAAAACGACACGAATTTTGCGGGTTAGGATTGAGAAAAAAGAGATTCGGGTCAGAATTGGGTCGACTTGAAATTGACACGAAAATATACGAGTCAATTTCGGGTTGGACTCGCCTAACCCGAACACGACACGAAACTCGTAAAAAACTAAAAAATACATATATTTTTCATTTCATATTTTAAATTTTATTATGAACTTGTGATATCATGATAGTTATACTCAAAATCTTATACTATTATTTGCTTAATTTTAATGGATGTTATTGTAATTTAGTCTATTATGAATTTTAAGTTATTTTTAATATGTAAAAAACTAAATAAAAGTATACAATTTTTGTGTCAATTTCGGGTTCACGGGTCAATTTCGTGTCACGGGTCATTTTCAGGTCGTGTCATGTTAACTTGTAAAGTGATCGTGTCGTGTTTGTGTTGCGATTTTTAAAAAATTTCGTGTCACGGATCGTGTTCGGGTTAACTGTAAATTTAGAAAGAAACGATCAAAACACGATACGTGATACGAATTGTCACCTCTACTGTGTACTGTCAATAGGTATTATTAATTAAAAAAAAATGCACGTTTCCTTAAAACATTCGTCTTTTTATTAGTTTTGTTTTCCTTCTCATTTTCTTTGCCGCAACATTTCTAATTGTGATTGACCATTAGTTTTGTCAATTTGCTTTTTTCCTAATTCTTTCTCCATCCTCTCTTTCACGTCTCTCTCATCCACCCTTTCACAAAAAAAAAAAAAAAAAAAAAATCACAAGAGAACCTCCATAATCAGCCATCAAGCTCATCTCTTAATCTTTCTTAGCAATCAAGATAAAAGAGATCGTTAAGGTATGATTCCTCTTATTATTTATTCTTTTGGTTTTGAATTCTTTAAGGGTACGGATTTAATTGTCAATGATGACTTTTGTTTGAAAAAGAGGAGAGACGTATTTATGAGATGATGATGAGTGAAGTTGTACCATTAATATGAGTTCTATGATTCAAGGTTATTCGATTTTTAATTTGATACTATGATTTTGAGTGTAGGTTTCTTTTAGATTTTATGTTAGTCATAGTTATTATTTGATTGTTTTGTTTTGTATCTTCCTAGAAAGCATGCTATAGGGGTTGGCGATTTTGGTAATTGAGTTAATAATAGAATTATTAGTTGTTGTACAACCTAGAAACATGCTAGGATTTATTTGTGATCATTTATATGATGGGTGTGATTCTTTTGATCGTCATTTTGTAGGTATAAGATATATATATATATATATATATATATATGCACGTATTTATATTTCTTTAAGTATTAGAAACATGTTATAGGGTTGAATAATAAATGGAATGTTGTTTATACATGTTGAGGATAATGGTTTTGTATTTTATAGAATTTTTGGTGAATTTTCGTCCTAGTTTGAGTGCTGGAATTTCTCCAGGTTTCATGTCTGATTTTAAAACAGTGTTTTAGGGACCAAATGAACTCTGTTTTTAGCAAATTAGATACCGTTGGAAAGATCTTGATGTCTATTTTCATTTGGCACCAGTTTCAGGTCGTTTTGAGTTTTTTTATGATTTGTTATGAATTTTTTAAAGAGATAAATGTCAGACTGTCAGTTTTTGTAAGATTTGGAAAATTAGTGTAATTATTGAGATTTCTTGTGTCTTGATGTTATTAAATGATGGAATTGGCCTTTTAGGCGCTGTTTCTAATATGATGGATGAATTTGATGAATTAAGTTTTTTTTTTTAATTTTACTATATTTATGATTTATGGCATGAACGGTTCTAGAGGCGAGCACTCGAGGACCTCATTTGTCGCGTCACTGTTACAAAATTTAAAAAGGTTAAGTAAGGTGCTCAAGTAAGTACACTCTCACCTGCAACATGAATTGAATAATTGAGAAGTATATGATTTTGACGTTTACGATGATGTTATTACGCTTCTAATAATCCTCTTATGATGACGTTTTGAAGAAAAATGTGTATATGTATTTTTATGTTTTTAAATGGCATTGTATAGCTAGATGGTGACTGGTGAACAGTCTTATTGTCACGGTTGGTATGAGATTTGCTACCCCATGCTTTCTGTGTCTAGCGCGCTATGATGGTACAACGTCGGACCCAATATATAATGGATTTTAAAGTTAAAATATGTTCAAAAATAATTATTCTCATGATAACGTTTATTGTTGATGAATAAAAATGTTTATTTACATTTGTGAGAATTAAGTGTCTTACTAAGCTCTTGCTTATATAAGTTATTTTATGTTGCAGACAATCTAAATGGTAAGATGTAGCCATAGAAGATCTTAGAGCGGATGCGAGCTATGCGTGATAAGAAAATGAGAGAAACGATCATGTAATAAAAATGCTTAAATTTAAATCAAGTTTTAATTTTTACTGTTCATTGTTTTAGAACTTTGGTTTATGGTGGTTTTAGTTTGAAGAATATTTTAGATTTTTTTTGAGTTTATTTCACAATATGAATTTTTTTTAATAATTAAGTTGAACCGAAAGATTATTTTTTTTTCTTTGAGGAAGTTCAAAATATTTAAAGTTATAATATGTTATTTAAAAAAAAAAAAGAAATTCTAGGTTTTCTTTAAGTAATTCAAAGTAAAGTATTTTAAGTTTAACTATTTTTCATATTCTTTAAGAAGTAAATGTTTGGAAGTTAAAATAACTATGACGATCTGTGAGAGATCGTTCCAGTTATGTTACTATATATAAGTTATCTTTCAACTCATAACAATGTAACTTTTTAACCTTTCCAATTGATCAAAATCAAGAATGAAAATATCAAAAATATTAAGTGCTTAAGTTTTAGAATGTATCGCTCAATGTTGGTAAAAATATAAAAAATTATGTAAAACATGTAGGTAAATGTTTAGACAACGATGTTTTTCCTTCGTGTTATCTGCATCAAGGGCCTATATTTAGGAGAATTTCAAAAGATAAGAAATAAAAAAAATAAAACCGTCGATATTTAGTTTCGTAATCGCAAGAACTCCTATGTACGCTAATTGGACTATTAAGACTAATAACAGATCAATAATGCAAAAATAATTGGACTATTAAGACTAATAACAGATCAATAATGCAAAAAGCTGTTGCTTGTATAACAAAATGATTCAGGAAGATCATAGTATTCTCCCATGTTTCTATAGAAAAGTATACATACATAAGCATTATGTTTTGAATCACAACTGTAAAATAAAACATCAGTATGAGGGCAGTTATATATTATGGAAACTCTCATGACATATTAATAAATTACAGACATGAAATGGTACCTGTAAGTTAAGAAGCATAATGACAGTTAAGTTATTTCTGATCAGTTTCAGATGATTGAGCAAGGATTATATCAGATGCAGACAAACTTCCCGATTGATCCACATCAAGATCATCAAACTCCTCCATTATAAGTGATATATCATCCTGGGTTATCTTCCCCATCTCTTTCAGCTTATATAATACAAACTCAGCAGCCCTGTGAGAACAAGCAAGTCCAACAATCAATATCCTTTGTGGTTTAAATAGCGGTCCGAATAAGGAATAGAGTCTAAACCGTTGTTTGATTACATGAATTCAAAGTGTGTAATTATTTATTTAGCCAACATTTTATTAAATTTTCTAGAAACTAAGGGGTGGTAAGTTCGCCAAAACTCATCTAGGATGAATTCTAAACCGACAGCCCAGGTTAAGAAAAATTGAACCAGACATTGGCTCAAACTTGTTCATGGGTTCAAAACCGGATGAGCCCATGAACCAAACGGCCTCATGTGGTAAGATTCAGCCTGGCATGGTTTTCAGAGGGTTGAAAAGCACTTTGCGGAAAAGCGATACAATCAGAATAAAAGTGAGCAAAAGCACTTTTCACATACGCCTATGCATTATGGAGTCGTTCGTTTCATATACTCAAACTCAAATCATTGACTCTACTACAGTGTAAAGCTCTCACATAAAATTTGAATTTCAAACATCAAAATCAAGAATCATGAGTTTGAATATATCTCCCAAACGGGCCACAAGTTGTTTTGAGAAGCTGCATTTTAAACTACTAACTTCTAGTTTTCTACTTCTGCTTTTGTTATAAGTAAAGCAAAATGATACATGTCATGAAAAGCTAGTGTCAAGGTGTAGCTTGTTATATGGGTCGTGAGTGGGAACTTAGTTTCCGTCCGGGTATGCGCCCTTGGATTGCTGTTGCATATTCAGTTCCTGTTGCGGTTGCTACTGCTATTTTCTTGATCTATCCAATTAGTCAAGGAAGCTTTTCTGACGGTATGCCTCTAGGAATCTCTGGTACTTTCAACTTCATGATTGTATTCCAAGCTTTGACATACCATGAAACTAAAATTTAGTTTTACAGAATCTACAGGATTTTGAGACGTGTGTATTCATGATATTCCTGATTAATTTTCATGGTATGAATCATTGCCAGCAAAGAAAATAGTGCTTCTTTTAAAAGCATACGAATCCTAAACTAGGCCTAAAAGAGTTATTAAACAGGAAATCCAATTCATACAAGAACATCAACTTACTCGACATTCCCATCGTGATCAAGATCAGCTGCCTCCAAATCCAGATTCGTCACCTTTCGAGTTAGAACCCACTCGACCAATTCCCTTTGCCTGTTTTCAGTGTTGAGCTCAGCAATATAGAGGAAAAACTGAGCTAAACAAATGGTACTTATCAGTATCCAGAACACGGCAAAAACACGCCCTCCTTTAGTTGAGAAGCTCTTATCTCCATACCCTAGAGTCGTTATGGTGGAACAAACACAGTAAAATGCATCCACAAGGTCCAACTTTTCGACCGTGGACAGAAATATAGTTCCAGTGATCATAAGCACTAAAAGAATTACAAAAGCCAGAATGCACTTGTATCTGGTTCGGTTCATCGCAGCCTCTTTCAGAATTTCAGTGTAAGCAACTTTTTTACGCAGGTGCAAGGCTCTAACAAGCAGTATTTCCTGCTTCTCTACCAAATAGTCCGCTGCGTTGCTAAGTATCAAACAGACTAGAGCCATTCCCGTGAACACAAAGGCACATGCGAGCACTTTTGCAGCATCACTGCTAGGTACTAGGTCCCCATATCCAACAGTCGTCATTGTGACGATGCAGAAATAAACTGCGTCGAGAACTCCATTAGTCTTCTTTCCCGTGATTTGGTTCCTAACAATGTAAAAGCAAACGGTGGCAGCACTCAAGTAGAAAGCCAAGAACATGAACACTTTGCAGATGTTCGGGTGTATATTCCCGAAAATGGCATTAGACTGAGGATCTGAGCCAATGCTTGTTTTCTCAAAGGGAACAAAATCTGCGAGGGGAGCACTTTTGCTGCGGCGGAATCTTTTTCTCTTTGGGGTGTCTTTACTCCTCGTCTGAGGATTGAGATCTGTTCGTCCCGAAAGCAAGGGTTGTCTTACATCAATACTAGCCATTTTGACGATTTGGACAAGTGAATATCTGCCCTAAAACATAATAGAGTCCAAGCGGGACTAGTTAGCAAATTCCTCAATTCAACTACTTTGAATTGATCAAATCACCACAATCCTAAAAATCTCGATCGAGAAGCTTAAACAAAATTTGGAAACAAAGTTGCACCGGTTAGATGAAACAAAGCATAAGTGCAAAATTGTTTAAATTTCCATATGCTCATTGCATTCAAGTAATCTATTAATGAAACCAAGAGAATACAATAAGAAACAAAAAAATCATCTGAATTCAGAACATTCCATATTTCCAATTATAAATAAATAAACCGTGAATTTCACTGTCCATTAATTTATTTAAATCACAGAAGACCCAAGAACTAGCATCTAGTGTAATGATTTATTGGGTTGAAAATCAAGATATATCAGTGATTACTGATTACCACTAAGCAGGCAAAGTAATCATCCTTAAAAAAAAAAAAAAAAAAAAAAAAAAAAAAAAAAAAAAAACCGAAATGGGTTTGAAAGATCAACTGAAATAACGAACTGGGTCAGATTCAAAATCTTTCCATTTATTTTAAAAAAATGAGAAAGGAAAAATCTTTAATAACGGGAAGAAAACCAAGGGAAAAGGGGAAAATACAGTAAATAAAAATGAAACTGAATTTATTTAAGCTCTCTAAATTGATTTCCATTGAAGTTGTAAACAGAGTGAAATTCCACTAAACAGTAAAGAAGAAAGTTTTAGAGTAATGAGTGAGAGATTTCAGTTTTACCTGTGGAAGCTGGTTTGAATTTGTCGTAGTCTGAAGAGCAGTTTTTTCCGTTGTAAGAAATTATCAGCAGAACTTTCCGAGAAAATCTAGAACGACCCACATCCTTCTAAAATAATGCGGTTACTCATTATATTCATTTTTGTTTGTTTGTTTTTTTCTTTTTTCAATTAAATTAAAAGTCAAGACGTGGGAAACTTCGGGTTTAATCCAGTGTTAAAAGGGAGGCCATGATTTGAAGAAAAGCATTATCAAATTATTTATTTTTTGGGCCTCTAAACAGCTCTTTAATTATTATTATTATTATTTTAATTTTCAGGGAGTTAATTATTTAATTTTGGTAAAACTATTTTCGAAAATAATTTGCCAAATCCCTACCTTTGAATAAAAAATTATATTTTATATAGTTTTTAAAAAAATAAAGTTAGAATAAAATCTGAACGTGTCGAATTTATTACCACTATAGAATGTGAAATAAGTAAACAAATATTTTGATTCATGAATAAATTATTAAAACTATAAATTTCAATGAAAAAATTGTAGATCCTAAAATCCTTAAGAATGTGCTATTCTTTGGAAAGAATTATCAAAAAAGAAGTTTAGACCGGATAAATACTTCCTGTTTTTGCTTATCATTTTCAATTTTAGGATTAGGAAAAAATAAAAAAAGAAGTTAGGGACTAATTTACTTAAAAACAATAAATTTGTAAACTGGATAATAGCATATTTTAAAAATAATGGTTTTTTGGCATAATTGTCCCCGAATTTATTGTTGTATAACAAATTACTCTCTAAACTTTTAATTTTGTCAAGTTATCCCAGACTTATAAATTTGTTAAAGTGTACCATATTTAACTAAATTTGTTCAAAATTTTTAATAAATTTTAGAGATTAAAAGTTGAGATAAGTTACATTTGAATTCTACTATTGAAATTTTTAACTGAACGTGTTTTTTGATACTAATTTAACACAATTATCTTCAAAATGAGACATTTTATAACAATTTTACAAATAAAAAGAATAACTAGCTAGAATTAAAAGTTTAGAGAAAAATTAATAAATCACGATAAATTTAAGAGATAAATGCGTTAAAAACCCTAAAAATGAAGACTAATAAATGACACTTTTTTAATAATAATAATAATAATAATAATAAATGCCATTTATTTTGATTTTTTCAAACTATAGATAGTGATAGCTAACACATAAAAAACATATATTTGTGATTTGTGAAAGCTCATTAACGGCTAAACGTAAAAAATGGAGGGAAAGTATCGGAGGCGAAGTTCAGAGCCGAGCGATCTGCTCAAGAGAATCAGAGGTCAATCCAATAATAAACTTTTGCGACCAAATCCAAATGGAAATTCATCTCCTTCAAATTTCAATCTTTTCTTTTTAATTTCAATTTCAGTTTCAATTTATTTGGTTTTTTTTTTCTTTTTTTTTTCTTCCAGAATTTACACGAGCTCTGGTCGAAGATCTCAGCAATGGACGATCTCCAGTCATCTCCATTCATCGGTTCAGTAACTACTGCACGAATCCCAACGCTATCTGGTTCGATCATTTCTCGTCTAAATTCACCATTTTTTAGTGCTTTTATAGTTGTTTAGTTGAGTGATAATCAATTAACTTTGAGTTTTTTCTTGTTCGTCAATTATCGGAAAGTGTTGATCATATTGGCAATGAGAATCATAAATTGAACTATAAAGCTGTTTTATTTATAGAATTTGATAATTATAGAGAACTGTTGATTTATGCAGTTGTTGTAGCTATGATTTGCCCAAAGGGAGGGAAATTCTTACTTTTCAGAGGGAAAGTCATGTTCATAGAATAGGTGAGTTGTGCGTGCGCGTGTTTATTTTATTTATTTATTTTTTACTAAAGAAAAGCAGTTATAAGGATTGAGAGTGGCGTGTTTAGATAATCCCAGAGGGGCAGTGCTTCCCCATGTTGGATAGAACCTTCATTTAGGGCCCGTATTCAAGTAAGTGATTTTGATTCATTGGCGGGGACTTTGTGAAAGAGAAAATTTTTTAATTTAAATTCTTTGTGAGATAATAAACATTGTAGCAGAAGTCAAATCATGATTTAAGTATACCAATCAAACAAGCCCTTAGTGTGGTAGGAATTAGGAATGACGCAAACCCAAGACCATGTCGAGGAGGATGAGTAGTCTTATCACCCCGTCAAGTGACCGGTGGTCTATAGGTGGGTTATGTGTGTGTGTGTGTGTGTGTTCCAAGAAAAGAGATTATAAAGATTGAGAGTGGCAAATCCAGATAATCCTATGGAGGGAGTCTTTCCTATGTAGCATAGTATTTTGTCCATCGTGGTTGAACTGACTCAAACCAAAGACCACGTCGAGGAGAACGACTTGCCTTACCACTCTACTAAATAACCAGTGGTTTATACGTGGGTGGTGTTTGATGTGCTATCACAAGATCTACATCTCATATTAGAAAAAGTTCGTTTTGGACTTTGGAAAAACAAATTAAAGAGTTTTGTGACATTTTTTTGGACTCTGTATAATATAGTTATAAACTCTCGGATTATTTGGGTACGCCATGTTGTATCCCTCTTATCTTTTTATTGTAGTGAAAAGAATAAAAAGGGATTTTATGAATATAGATTTGTTCTTGATATCTTATATTATGTGTTGCGTTTGATTTCCTTTCAGATGTTCTGCTGAGGGTTCTATTGATTGTCCAGAAACTTCTGCAAGAAAACAAACATGGGTCTAAAAGAGATATATATTACATGCACCCTGCAGTATTTTCAGGTGATTTTGTGTTTTGGTTTTCAGTATTCATAATGTATGAATTTTCTGGTGATTTTGTATTTGGTTTTAGTATTCAAAATGTATGACTTGCTATACCCTGGAAGACAGACATGATTCTTTCAAAAGTTGAAAAGTTTGAGTTCGTCTATTTGAAGATGTTCATATGGGCTTCCATTTAATGTCCTTTAGTTTTCTTGTAGTAATGTTTTTCTGCTTATTTGCATTGCAGAGCAGTCGGTTGTGGACCGGGCAATCAATGAAATATGCATACTTCTGCAGTGTAGTAGGCACAATTTAAATGTGGTGAGTAGGCTTCATACGTTAGACTTATGAGATATATTCTTCATAACCAAATTTGAGACTATTTGTCTCCAGAAAAAGGATGACTAATCAAGATGGTGATCTTTCTGATTACTTTTTGCCTCCTTTCATATGAATTTATGAACTTTGTTTCTTAAGTTAATGCAACATCTGTTCACCACGTGTGTTGATTTTTATTCCTCTAAGGATAATGGTAGAAAGAAGTAAAATTATGCTTGTCAATACTTTAGAAGTTGTTTCGCCGATACTTCTTAGGCTGCACCTGCATGCATAAATGGCCTTAAAGGTTGCATACTGATATACTTCATGTTTCATCCTTATGACAGGTTTCTGTTGGAAAAGGGTATGGACTGGAGCTCACGTTATGTGACAAGTTTATGCATTTCTGTTTCATTTTGTTTGAAATGGTAGATTTGAATCAATTTTTTTATTTGATTGGATGATTTTTTTCTTGGTCTGTCAACATCTGTTTCCTTCTCATGTTAATTAACTTTGCTCGTAGCCAACTGAATTATAAGCAGAATCCCATTTGCGTGCATTTGGTACCGTTAGTTTCATTGAAACTACTTATAAAAAAATTTAAAGAAAAGAAAGAAAAGAAAACTCTCAATGTTAACTAATATCTTTCTCGTTGTAGGTTGGTAATGGGATGGCTAAGATTCTCAGAATCCGAGAAGAAGTTTGACTGCATAAATAGGCCCAGCATTGTAAGACTGCAGGACATTATTGATGGATCTGATGACATATTTTCTTTTCCTCTGTATTTAAGTTGATATCTGCATTTGGTCCACTCACAGGCTCACCCTATTCCTGTACACGTTGAAGAAGTTAAAGGTATCCGGAGAACAGTAAAACATGATTCAAATAACAACTTATATTAAGGGCTAAAATTTCTATATTGACATGTAGTATTTGCCAGTATGAGGTTTTAATTCTCCGATGTGTTTTATGATGAATTTGCTCAAATTTTTATGGAGGTTTTACCTTTAACTCTAAGCCTGCAGATATAGTCAGTGTTGCCCAATACATTCTTGTGGTGGAGAAAGAAACAGGTACTCTTTTTTTTTTTTTTTTTTTTTGTCAGCAAACATTCTTGTGGTTAGTAGTTGCATTTTTATCAATCAAGCGTGGTTGTGTAATCTTCTATGTAGTGTTTGAACGATTGGCAAATGACCAGTTCTGCAACAAAAACCGCTGCATTGTTATCACAGTACGTATGCTCTTTTAAGTCTTGTGAATTCTTAAACAGGCTTTAACTATGTGCTCATTGCAACTTTTTTATATTATAGGGAAGAGGGTATCCTGATATTCCCACAAGGAGGTAGAAAGTCCCTACAATTTTCTTAAATGAATAGCCATAATATCTTTCTGTAGTTTCTTTTCAATTAACTTTACGTAAGCTGCATTGATGTCTACCAGGTTCTTGCGCCTTCTTATTGACACTTTGCGTCTCCCCACCTACTGCTTAGTAGATTGTGATCCTTACGGTTTTGACATCCTGGCCACATACCGATTCGGTTCTATGGTTAGACGTTTTGATCAAACTATCCAAATTTATTGTTATCTACATGTGTGACCCATTTACTGACTCCTAGAGCGAATTATTGAAGATTTAAGGGGTGTGAAAATAAGTCAGTTCTTTTGCTTTTTGCTTTCGTATAATACTTTTTTTGTTTCTATCCAATTTTGACTCATTTTTCTGCTCTGCAAGCAAATGGCATATGATGCAAAACTTTTAAGGATCCCAGAGATGAACTGGCTTGGAGCTTTTCCTTCGGATTCTGAGAAGTACAACCTTCCAAACCAGTGTCTTCTTCCTTTGACAGCTGAAGGTAGGAAGGAAATTATTACTCTCATAAGGGCTTTCTTGTAGTTGTAATCTTAACCAATTATGACTTGGTTTCATTGTCAGACAAGAGGAAATCTGAAGCGATCTTACTCAGATGCTACCTACAAAGAGAAGTGCCGAAATGGAGGTAAAACTCACACGCGCTCTCTGAGGTGACATCCTGGTATAACAGGCTTAATTATTTATAATGTGGAATTATATCTTTGGCCTTAAAAGATTGGAGCTTGAGCTGATGCTGCAAAGAGGAGTGAAATTTGAGATAGAAGCATTGTCTGCGCGCGTGTTGTCGTTCTTGTCAGCGGAGTACATACCTTCTAAAATTCAAGGTGGAATATACCTATAACATCTAACATCTTTATAGTCTATGTTATTTCTTAGTAGCCTAGATATGATGGAGCCGTCAGCAAAAAGTTTTATAAGCAAGATTGAAATTTCAGCAAACCAGAGAGCACAATTAGGGATCTCTCGCAGATTATTCTTGAAGTGAATTCTTAATGACTATTGGACACAATGTAAAGAAATTAAAGCTCGAAAAGTTAAATTTGAGATGAGTAATTTCTCTACTTCTCTTCTTCTTGTTGTTCTGTACCTTTTACATCAAATGGCCCAAAGAACACATTTACGAATTCGTAAGTGTTCATAGGCAACTAGACATTGTCAAGTCAAATAGCTCATTAGTGAAATCCAGATAAACATCTAAAACAAGTGGTTAAGCATCTATTGAAACAAGCAAACAATTTAAGTGAAAAATGCAGTGTTTTTTTTTTCTGAAACATCTTACTTCCACATAACCATTTGCTTCCTACACCATGCATTCAGAGTCAGTGACCTACAATTATCGGAACATGGTTAAAGTTGACTTAGCCACTTCACCTTAATGGTCACTTATTGAACAAGGAAATATCATAATTAGCTGAAAATTTTCTTGGGTTGTTAATGTCAAAGACCCTATTGATAAGCTAGTTTGATTTACAGAAGAGCTGCATAGTTGGCTTACTTGAAATGGGTTGTGGATGAACGTGCAACAAGCAAATCAAGGTACAAGTACACATCAAAGACTCAATAATGTAAAACTAGGACTTATCATTATCAATTCCAATTAGTATTCACTATTTATTTGTTTCACCTAAATATCCGAAATTGGACATGGTACATAATAATACTACTGAACATTTTGGTAGAAGTTAGGAAAACATGATGCCTGTTTGGTTCACATTTCACAAGTTTGAATAGAAATTCAAATCTTTTGTGAGAGAAAATACTGTAGCAAAAAGATTTGAATTGTGATTCAAAACTCGTGAAAAAAAGTACCGAAGGTCGATGAATAATATTCTAAATCTTATGGAGTGGCAGATTCTTAGAATATCAAAATCCTCAATCGCGAGGGTTGGTTCTAGATCTCCATGTCTATCAATTTTTTGATCACATTAGTGAGTCATATCATCTAGGAAGAACCACCAAAAGCTGTTGAGTATATAATATCGTTTCTGGGGTCCCATGCAAATTATTGAAAGCTGAAGTGTTACTCATGTAATAGTAGTTGTACAAACATTTATTCTTCATGAAAATCCTTATTCTCACACTTTGCAAAATCAAGCTTAGGTTCTGCTTTGAAGTGGCTAACTATTCAATGCACAGACCCCACTTCATTATTGATCGCAGAAACTCCATTATTGAAACCAAGAATTGAACCATCTTAGCTTCTTCCTTTCCTTTGTCCATCTCGAGGTTAGAATGATTCAATCATACAACCTCAATCAAATTCTCAATAATGGGTCAGGCAAGCCGAGACACGTCCAAAATGGTCATTTGCACTTTACATTTCCTGTGACCACACACGTTTACATTTGCACGTGCCACCTCAATCAAATTCTCAAGATGGTCACATGAACGCCCCAATGCATTTCCTGTGACCATCTTGTTCCTGTTCTTCTGATCTTTACATTTGCACTTCAGGGCTCGTTTAGTTCGCTGATTTAAGTTTTTAATTCGAGTTGAGATGTGATTTTATGTGAGTACTTTTTACTGTAGCAAAAAAGTTAAATGTGATGTTTTTTAGAGCTTTTTACTGTAGTAAAACTCGAATTCTAAACTCGAATCGGTGAAATGAACGGGGCCTTAGTTTTTCAATTTATGGTAGTTCTTCATTGCTTCATATGAAAAATGGAGGTACAAACTTTGCTGGTGTTGTGCACATCTCTCTAATTTTTGTTTGATCAACTCATTTAAGTTTGGTGGGCACCTAGCAAAGTGCTACTTTTTCTTCATTGGCGAGTTCTAGAGTAGGAGAATCAAACATGTCTCTTTCATGTTGACAATGATTTTTCAGTTTGAGGAGGACCCATTTGGAAAGAACTTTCTTTGTGATGTGAACCTTGAATATTTAATTAGAAGTGTGGTAAAAATGAAAGCTCCTGATTTTTCAACCACAGGACAAAGTGTAAAAGTTCATTCACTCTTTGGCCTAGGGATTGTAAAATATGAGTAAAATGGCAATTTCTGTCTCTTTCAGCTTTAGCTTTTAATGAAAGAAATTTTTTTAGTGTTCTTATTTTTTTTAAACACAGGTGTTTTTTACTTATTATCTGTTAAATTTATATTATTTTTTAAATTTAATTTAATTTTTGATTAAATTTAATATAAATTTAATGATTGATAAATAAAATAAATACAAGTGTTCTTAAAAAAGAAAAAAAATACCGGATATAATCCCTTAAAACAAAAGTATTTTGAAGCTTTTTAAAATATTTGGTTCACTCTCATGGACACTATAACCAAATTAAGTGCTGGAAATCATCACAAGAAAATATGTTGGCTTGGTATGCCAAAAGAAAGAAAGTTTAGAATAAAGAATGTAAAGGTCTTCCTAAATTTCATTGTTGTTTTTGGTGAGGTAAATAAATGTTTTTATGAAGAGGTGAAACTTTTTGTCAATCTACATTCATTTTCTTTTTTTTCCTCTTTTTGCTCCCCTAATATGTGGACGTGAATTTTGTTGATACATGATGTTGATACCAGAATTTCTCACATACCGATGGCCCACCGGTGAAGTATTGTCCCCACTTGGGCCCGCCGTGACGGGTGGGATTTTGTCCCTTCGTAAAAGGCGCCTCGCTGGGGTGAGGGGCCGGCACTCTCCCCGTGGGGCGCTCTCCTGACCCCACCCCCGTCGAGGTATTGTCTCCACTTATGCCCAATGGATTTCCCATGAGGGAGTTTTGTCTCCCTTAGGAGCGCCTCGCTGGTAGGAGGGGTTGACACTCTGGTACATATACCTCTCCAGACCCCCGTCTCCAACCGATGTGGGACTCTTGGCATACAACAGTGAGATATTGTCCTCCACGGCGGGCCCAAGTGGGGACAATACTTCGCCGGTGGGCCATCGGTGTGTGAGAAATTCTGGTATCAACACATGACAAGGGTGAATTTGGCTGCACACATCTCAAACACGTGTAAAGTCTTGTTTAAGTTTTTGACAGTTATTATCACTCTTGCTTTTTTTGTTGCAAAGCTAATAATGGAGACGAGAGAACACTGAAAAAATTGTGACCGTCAAAATCATCTTTCTATGAGATTTTCAAGAAAAGAAGGATTGCTTACTGCTTTTAACTTTAGATAACAAATTGCTCAACTTTAAACTACAAGGAAATCTAGTTTTGTGTTAATCCTTAATTTGATCTCTCTAAGCTCATTAGATGTACTGAGTTTGACTCATTTCGCAGAGTTTTTATTTTTATTTTTTTGGTCAGTAGAAGAAAAAAAATAAAAACTGTGACTTCTCAATAAGTGTTTAGAATTACGTTTTAAAAGTAATTAACGGGTGACAATGAATTTAAAGCAACAAAAATGTTAGAATAAAATTTAAAATGTCTTATTGAAATTATGATAAAAATTTCAAAATCTATTTAAAAGAGTTTTTTAAAGAAATCATATTTTGTGATTTTAATATTAAGCTCTTCTAACAGATCATTTGAATTGAATGCTTAGAGAAGTAGCTTTTTGCCCCATAAAACTAAAAACTATTTCTAAGAAGTTCTACCAAATAGGCCGATAACATTATAAAAGCACAAACTTAAGTTCTACTAGCATTTTCTATTGGATCTGTGTTAAACCATATCTGAAAAGGTTTTTGGAGGTTGACCTTAATTAGCTCTATCAACGAAGTTAATTCATCTTTATTTGCCTTTTGTTTCTAAATAGAAGAACTTAAAAGCAAAGGGTAACTGCAGAAGATAAGTAATATGGACTGAAGTTAGCTTCATATCAGACAAATCAAGTTAAATTAATTCATTTTGTCTTAGGCGCTCCTCCATCTAAAGTATCATTTTCATGTGGTCCTCCTTGTACCTACTACAATAATGAATACTCTAAAGTATTGCATCAGTCCATATAAAATATGTAACATCAATAGGTCATTTCTGTTTGGTTGACTTTCTATCAATCAGATTTTTGAGGTTTTTTTTTTTTTTTTTGTCCCAACCATCATCCCTTATCCTGTTGTTGTGTTTTTTCTCCCCTTAAAAATGTGAGAACATAATTGTTTAAGTCTAGTAAGTTTTATGTTGAATTTTGATCATATGAAAGTTTTCAAGTAACTTCTAAAATCACGGATCAATATAGACATTATAAGAAGATAAACTTTGAAAATTTTGAAGCAAATGCATGCTTATATACACTACATAACTACAACCAAGTTGATCCCAAAAGGAAGAAGATTAAGAGGAATAACGTTTTACTAGATAAAACATACACACACAACTAACTACTAACTAACTAACAGAAGGGAAAATCAAACGATTCCTAGCTCATCACCATCAACATTATGAGAGAGACTAGTCTACATGCCGTTACACTATATATTTTCACTGCGAAAGAAGAAGACCAACATTTGAGATTCTTATAATTAGACGGCCATGATCAACTGTCTTTGTGCTTCAATCCTTCATTCTTCTGATAAACTCATCGAACTTCTTGTTTAATTCTTCTGTACTCAGCATTCCATTTTCGACTTCGTCCTCTTGATCATCATCATCTTCATCTTCTTCTTCTTCCAATCCTTGGTCAGCAAGAAATCTATCCGTCGAACAATTGTCCTCCTCTCCCTTTTCTGCAACATTTACTAATGGAGTCTCTCCTTCTTTTGAATCCATAATCCCACTTCTTTGCTCTCGTTCTTTGCTTCCGATAATCGCCTTTTCTGTTTCTACTTCTGTTTCTCCTTGGTTGGTGAAATAGCACTCCTCTTCATTTCCTTCTTCTAAAGCAACATTTTCTGCTGAGCCAATACTTTCAGGTACATTAGCTTCTTTCTCCGAGAACTTTAGTTCTTTCTTCGGTGACATTGACTGATCAGATCGAAAACCGTCTACGATATCATTGGAATGCGACTCGCCTTGATCGCCAGACAAGGACACTAATCCGACCAAACTAGAATATTTCGCAAGGAAGACGAGAAGTCCATTGCAAACAAGGAATATGCAGTTTTTGTCAATGGTGTGGGTGAAAAGCTTGTAAGGAAATGTGGAGAAACAAAAGTTGAGAGAATGAAGAAAAGAAAGAAAAGTCGAGTGGGAAAAGAAAAGGGTAAACACAGAAACTGAGAGCAACAATTGGCTAACCAGTTTTAGTGATAGAGAATCTGTGAATTGCTTAAAGACATGAAGATTTTGGTGCACAGTTTTTTCCATTTTCATGAAGAATTATGGCGCCGGGGGAGAGAGAATGAGGGGTTTAAAGCAAGGTTTCTTGAGCTTGGCTAGTATAATGCTGTTTTAGTATGTAACTATATGAGGTGGCTTAACCTATATATATATAGCACTAGTGAAAATGTGATTATATAGGGGTTTGGTTGGTTTTACCAAACTAGCCTTGGCCAGCTTCGAATTAGCCATTTTTATTGACCTTTTTCTCGAAAATTGTACGACCATTAATCGTAAAAGTCTAATATGTTTTTATGTTGCATAATCCAAAACAAATATAATGTAGAAGTAGCTTTTTGAACAATTTCTTCATCACAGATCGAAAAGATAAACTTTCATTCAGTTTGAAGCAAATACGTCGTGTTTTTATATATAAGTAACCTGTGGCTGGGTCTCAGCACAACTAACACATATTTTGTAGACCATAGATGATGAGATTTAAGGCAGAGACACAACATATACAAGGCACCTAGAAAAGAGCACTGTATGTTTGTGATTCCCAAAACACGTGTTTTCTTTTATTTTGAGATTACTTGCAATTGGTTCTTTAGCTTCTTTGTGGGTTAGTTCATGTTGGATTTGGCAGAGTGAGGGGAGTGATCATAGTGCCATCACAAGGGTGAAAACGGTTAGAAAATGAGAAATATTAACGTCGCTTTTTCTGTTATTCCTTCTGTCACTTTTTACATTTACCGTTTAACACATGAATATAATATAATTCACTTGTCAAATAGTGAATGTAGAAAATGACAATATGAGTAACGCTAGATTTTTCGTGAGGAAATAAGCCCATGACACTAAGCATGTATAAGCGAGAAAATAATTAAAAGTAAAAATTTCAAAAACAATTTTTTTTTTCTTTTTTTGTTGTTATCTTTGATTGAAATGTCCTAATCCTTCCTTTATTATTCCTAGTTACACAGAAGAGTTTCTGATAACTCTATTAAAAGTAGAGTTTTGCACTATTTTTGTGCATTTAAATTGGCTAGTTTTTGAGACTTTTAACTTATTTATTTTACTTTAATTTTGAATTTTTTGAATTTACTTTTTTAATTTTCATTTTACTTAATTTCATTTGTTTTTACTTCACTTGATTTAGTTTTATTTTAATTTAGATTTTCATTAGATTTATTTTAGTTTATTTAGTTTAATTTTAGTAATTTATATTTAGTTTCCTTTCAAAATAATTGTTCATTCTCATTGTAATTACATTTGATGACAAGTGGGTTTAATTGCAAAATTGGAATTGAAGTGGGTCAAAATGCAAGAAAAATGGCTTCAGAATTCAAATGAAATTCGGACCCCAACAAGTGCACTGGTAGAAAAGAATAAAGACCCCGTTCATTTTGTTCTTCGAGTTTAAAATTTAAATTTTATTATAATAAAAAATTTTTATAAAGAGTTATATCTAATTTTTTTATTATAATAAAAAATTATCATATAAAATTATATTTTAATTTAAATTAAAAATTTAAATAAGTAAATTAAACGGTTCAAAAAATTCCAATTTTTACCGTCTAATCTAATACACCAACGGCCTAGATCAAGAGTGTGCTTCACTCTCTTCTACCCGACATAGGAGCAATCGACGCCACGTGGCTGGCTTGTCCCCCAGTTCCTCCTTCCTCTTCTCTCACGCTGCCACGTCATCGATCTTGTCTCCCACTTTCTCCCAGCCTGCCCAATCTCCCATTTTAGCTACAGACTTGCACAAAACCCAAGGAGATAATGGAGAGCATTTAATGTGGCTTTTAAGCCAATTTTAGGAGGAGAAAAATACAAAAAATATATATATTTTTTTTTTTGCTTTAGGATTTGCTTTTTAGTTTTAGATCTAGGTTTTATTTTCAATAAATCATCATAGGAGAAAGTATTTAGAGATGAAGAAGGAGAGGAGAAGAAAAAAAAAAGAGTTTGAAGTATGTGACAATTCTAAAATTAGTTTTTATTTAAAGTCTTATATTTATATTTTTATAATTTGTAAATGGTGAAATCCTGAATTTTAGTATGTTTAATTTTAGTTATGGAGTAGTTATTTTTCTAGAGCTTCGATTTTACTTAATTATAAAGTGTTGATTTACTTTTAAGTGTTTTTTCATGATTTATTTGTATTGTCCCATTCTTAATGTTTTTAATTTACTGGGAAATAAATTAGATGATTTGATGTATGAGTTAGACACTAGGAGAAGTAATTTATACATAGATAGCACAACTTAAGTTTTTAGAGTTCGGGAGGCCTAAAATACCTTCGTAGTCATTAAGAGAACTAGAGCTTAATGAATGTTTAAATTACTCCGTTTTTAATAGGGATATTAGAATTAGGTTTTGAGCATATTATCCAATTTGATGCTTGGGAGAGGTAATTGGGTTAATTAAGAGTTCTTGACTAATAAATTATGATATTCACTTAGTAATAAATTGGCACGGATTAATTATGGTGAAATTGATGCTCTAGTATTTTTATTACTTGTTTTGTCACTTTACTTTACTTGCTTAATTATTTTTATTACTTCTTTTTATTCATTACTTATTCTGGTAGTTCAAATAATCTTAGAAATGATCAATTTTGGTACTTAACGAAAATTAAATACATTCCTCGTGGGATCGACACGTTTATTCACACTTTATTACTTGAGGTGACTTGTGCACTTGTGAGCACAAATACATGCGACAAGTTTCTAGTGCCGTTGCCGGGAAATGTTTGTTTGATTTCTGTTAATATTAATACCAATTAGTTATGGGATTAATTTGAACGTTTATTTGTTTTTATTTTACTTTCTTTTGTTTTTAAATTTATTTGCTCTGTTTTTCTTGTGAGGTAACTTTGCGATGTCTCATCAACAAGTCTTCTTGAGTTTTGCCCAATATGATTCGGAACCAATGCATAGTGCTTGATCGAGATATAAGGAGTTGCTAGTTCGATTTCCTTACCATGGGTTCTCAAGGGAATGTCAACTTCAAAACTTTCTCAACGGGTTAAGCGCCGCAACATGAACTTGGATGGAAAGAGGAAATGGTACCACATCTTTTTACCAACTATCGGCAGATGAAACCTATTATTTTTTGGACGACATGACCAATTATGACAATTGGTGATGGAATCATTCTCCGAACAACCAAGGTTGGGAGGAGAGTTCTACCTATTCGAAGCCATGGTATGACAATACTCAACCTCAACAAGCGGAGTCTTCTCTAGACCTTCAAGAGAGTCTTGCCCAATTTGTGGAGGAGACAAGGCTTAGTAAAGAGAAGTTGGAGAGGATGAGAGGCACAAAAATTCCTAGAGAGAGAAGCTTGGAATTAGAGATTCTTGAAGAATGCTTAGGAGAGATTCTTGAAGATTTGAAGGCTTGAAGCTCATCTCCACAAGAGTTTTCTCTTCCTTCTCCCTTTTTTTTTTTAGTTTTTCTTCTTGAATTTGTGATTTTGGTTATGAATTCCTCTATGTTGAGCTAGATTATTATTATAGGGCTTGATGTAGCTTTATTTAAACCATATTTTGATTATCTTGTCAATTGTTAGTTAAATTCTATCTTAATTTATTTATGTTTCTCTATGCTTAATGTTTCTAATTTATGTGGTCAATGAGTAATTAGATAATTTTAGATTGTGATTTTGATGCTCGGGAGAGATTGATTGCATAGTCTGGAATTGAGAAATATAGTCTAGATTGTTGTGGGTCCGGGAGGAGATCAACACTTAAATAATCTCGCTGAGAGTCTAAGATATTATGCGACATGAGGATGATTAAGACTTCAACTATCAACTAGGATTTTGATTGCTGTGAGGCCGGGAGGTGATCGATATTTGAGTTCTAATTTAAGGGTGAAACTCAATGAGTGTATGAGTAAATGAGTTAGATAGGAATATTGATTGGGGTATTCATGTATATGACTTCGTTTGACGCTCAGGAGAGGTAGCGAGGTTAGATTAGAACCCTTGATTAATGAATTGAGTGGAATTAGCTAGCATTGGCTTGATAGGATGAACATAGAAATGATAAGATGAAGTCAAGCCCCTAGTACATTTGTACATAGACGCCTCATTTACTTCGCGGATTCGAGTTTTCAATTTGAGCTGAGATGTGACATTTTCTGAGAGCTTTTCACTGTAGCAGAAAAAGTTAGATGTGACATTTTCTGAGAGCTTTTTACTGTAGAAACCTAAAACTGAAAACTCGAATCGGTGAAATGAACGAATTAAGAAGGTTTCATAATTTGTCTTATTTTTGTATTTATATCCATTTAAGTTCTATTTTATTTCATTGAGTTCAGTTGCCTAGATAAAGTTGAGTTACGATAATCGCGGTACTTAGCATAATTTAACACCCAATTCCTGTGGAGACGATACTCACTCACCTTATACTAATAAAATTTGACACCGTACGCTTGTGGACAAACAGTTTCCTAAACTTTTCTTAAATGTAATGCTTTGCTTTCACTACTAATCCTGCCCTCAAACTAAAAGTTAATAGTCTCTATTGACCATCTAAATTCAACAAAAAGATTTTTGCTTCCTAGAACACGCATTTAGAGGATCATCTACAACAATTATTGGAACTTGATTGAAAACTGATCACTTAGCCGCTTAGCCCCAATGGTCACTTATTGAATTATAAGAAAATTAACATCATCTATATATAAGAAGAAACTTTTATTGGGTTGTTAATGTCAAAGACCCTAGTGATAAGCTAGCTTGATTTATACAAGACTTGAATATATAGTTATGTTACTTGAAATGAGTATTTGGATAAACTTGCAATATGAGAATTCTATGAAACAAATTATGAGACAAACACATATCAATGACTCAATAATGTAAAACTTCTAGACATATCACAATCAATTCCAAGTATTTATTTTTTGTGTATCTACATATCCTAACCCGGACATTTGCATAATAACACTAATTATGAACATTATGATACGAATAAACAAGAAAAAAAAGGTTTATGGATAATATTCTAAATCTTATATATATAGAGGTGGCAGATTCTTAGTCTCTCAAAATCCTCAATCAAAAGGGTGGGTTCTAGATCTTCTTGTTTATAATTTTTGTT